TTTTTTTTTTTTTCCAGTTGGGAAACTTGCTGAACATTTTATCGATCGTTTACGAATCGTGCGTTCATTTTTTATTCTATCTCGAAATTATGGAATAATATTTATTGTTATTAAATAATTGGAATACGACTTGCAACGAAATCCACTCTCTCTTCTTCTAGAAATTCATTTCAATTCGCACGACGTACGACATAAACAGCCCTTTTTTTAATAATAATTTCTTACAACTACTTTACGACTCTGAAACGTTTCTCGTGCAATCGATTTTTCATTAACCCACACCAATTCGTTTCCTTCTCCACCATAAACCGAATCGTCACGGAATACAAAGAGGGTGTTTTCAAACTCGGAACGTTTTTCAAAGAACGTTCTGCAATATTTGAACAAATTACATATTTCGCGTTTAATTTTAAGAACATTATATGGTGCAAAATTTCAATCCTCTCGTGTCAACTTTTATACAAAATTCATATTTCGAACATAAAAATTATTTATCGAAATTAACATTTTTCAATTCTATTCAATTCTTGTCTGAAGTTAGAAATAAAGAAAGGAAGAAAAAAGAAATGTCCTTGTTCGAAATAATCTTAATTTCATTCATATTTTCCACTCGTTACATATACGAGTCTCCATAATAACCTCCTCCCTCTCCCTCTTCCCCATACAACAAATATAACATGTGCAGGAAACTGAAATAGAAAAACTTGCTCTTAATAACCCGTATTTCCCGAGACAAATGGATTCGCGACAGATCGCAAGGCGAGCTCGATCGAGGCTTTTTCATCCTTCTCGATAACAAGACGCGTAATCGTTGTAACCATGGTTGTTGGATAGCGACGACAGGCGTTGTGTACAGGGCCATGTCTGCGGTCTTGTTCGAGCGGCGTATCGTGCACGACATCGCGCGTTCCAACAACATTGGCCCGTTCCCAACGGGCTCGGCCCACTAGTCGACTCCAACAGCCTGATTCTACTTAACCGACTTGTCCCAATCTATTCGAATAAATTACGGTGACGGCGTATAATCGTTACTATCGTGATTGCATGCGAGTTGGTAGTGTTTCGTGACAATGCTTATCAATGGAAGATGAGCCTCCACTGTTGTTGCGTCCATTGATTTTTTTTGTGGAATAGCGAAAGTTCAAACGAAAATTTGCGAAATTTTTGACGTGATTCATTCATTTTGAATGGATTCATTCGTGGTTTATATGGGTATTATTATTGTACTTCACTTTCTTTTCCACAATGCGTGGATTTTTTTTCAATTAAATTTCTTTGTTTAATTCGAGTAGATTCGATGTTGTTGATATATTATCGTTTTCTATGCTCATTTCATTTTTGGAAAAGATTTATTTCCATCCAGTTTTCCGTTCAACTTTTCATATATTAATATAATAGGGAAAAATGAGAAACCTCCGACCGGAACCTGACTTTATTCCCTTCACAAAGGTATCCTCTTG